ACGAAAAGGTTATGTCTTTTCGCCGATTGCGTGTTTTCCATTGAAATACTTAGTATTTCTTCGCCGAGAGGCGATGATTTTCATAGGCAGGTTTTTGGCGTACAAATGAAAAAGTTGTCTTTTCCCCGTTCCAAGTAAGTTACTCGGTCAATAGTGCACCGATTTTGATAATTGTGGTTTTAATCGAAAGGGAATTCATCTGGCTTTATTTCAGTAAGAATCCCGGCTGTGTATTTCAGAATTTCCCACCCAGATTTCGCCTATTTACGAGAGGGGGGTGTTTGACAAGTTTGTGTGCGTTACATCCCTTTCCTTCTTTATCTGTACATGGATATCAGTGTACGCTTGTAGGACCCAGGACGTATTATTTTAAGCAATACAAGCCCCTGTGGGGGAGCCTTCATATTCTCCTTAAAGTTCTTCGTGGGTTCGACTAAAAAAGTCACATTCGCTGTCTGGGCTGCGTGTAGAGGGGCAAGGGCCCTGAGTCGAGCTGATGATGAGCCAGGCTGTGTCAGGACCATACGAACTCTCTGCTACATTTTTATCTTAATAATTATGTAATAACATAATTGTGATGGTGTACGCCTCTATGTGGTGGTGGGTATCCTGACAGAGTAGAATTTATTTGAGCATTTCCAGGGATTGGTGCCATATCCTGGTTAAGCTAACTTACAACACTCGTGGGATACCTTTATGCTAACCGTCAGTTCAACAGCTTCAATCGACATTTAAATGAGCTATCGCATTATCCTTCCGAAATTGCAAGATTCACTTGTCAATGACGACATATTCCTTAAAGGTGTATGTAAAGATAACCATTTGGACAAAAATGGGACAAGAAACAAATAATATAGTATAGTTGCGAGCAGGGATTTAGGGCTCCTTGGGTTTGATACAGCCAAGCCACTTGTACATGTGATGTAGAATGTAGATGTTGAAAGTAGTAATGGCAACTTTTAATAGGGATCATATCACTGCCAGTAATGGGAAATTCGTCATTATTTAACTTTGAATTCATATGGGCCAGGGTTAGATTCAAAGGATTGTGTAGTATGGTGTGGATAATGACACTTTCGATGTAGATTCTTACATTGGCAAAACATCTAGGCCAGTAAACACCAGAGTGAAAGAGCACCAGGCATCAACAAACAAATTCGACAACAAATCAGCTATCTCAGAAGACATTCAGACCAACCTCAATCACCAAATCAACTGGACAGAATACACAATCCTGGCAAACAATCTGACTTTACCAAACGGATATTAACTTATGCCATCCACATCAAACGACACCGACCCCTGATCAACAGAGATCAAGATTATTTCATCCCCTCAGCATATGACGAACTCATCAACCAACCCTAACTGCCTGGATAACTTCTATAAACATGTCAAACCTCTCCTGCTCTGTACATCCCACTGGCTTTTAAATGTAATCCATTGTCACTGGCTTCTACATGTAAGCCTTTATCATCACATTGTTTCTGTACTTTCCAATTAACTTATTGTTCTTGTTATTATTTACTGTACATTTGATACATGCTATTTCATTTACCTCGAACAAGCATGAACAACATATGTACCATACGTTGTTACTATCCACATGCACCATAGAACATCAGCAAACGTTTGGGACACATACTGCTAACTTTCATCGTGCAGCGATAGCAACTGTAGTGTGGAAAATATAATCATTTGTCCCTCTGTTGTGTTTGGAGATACATAACTGAAATCGGCAGATATGATCAGAACAGCCTACATGTACAGGTAATTTTAAGTCGAAATCGGACGGTTGGTTTCAGAGTTAGGGGTGTTTGAAACGTATTTTGAGGGCTTTAAATCGTCCAAAACAGAGCTAGATCACGTTTTTGACAGGCGAGCGCATCTTCCAAATACAGCCGATGCCGAAGGGTCATGTAGGAAGTTCCGGAGAAGAAAGAGTTCCCTCTTTGGCAGGCTGTAGCTCCGACGTCCTTCGGTCTACAGTTAAAACAGTTAGTGTTCTGGAATCGCCAGGACTTTAGCTATCAGATACACAAACACATGACATGCGGACCTGCTCCAGAAGTTTGGTAGTCAATATTGCATTTGTGCAGTTTTCAATCAAATATGGCCGCCAAGCGACGCATAGTTTGATAAGCATGTAAGAACACAAAATGTCAAGAGTATAATGGTGATGCATTGTACCGATTTTCACGTCTCACTGAGGAACTAAGCCGTTTCTAGAGTAGTGAAACCAGAATGTGCCGAAATCCAATATGGCCACCAAACGATTCACAATTTGGCATGCACCAAAGAACAAAAACTGTTCATCAAGTTACTGCATGCTGCCAGATTCTAGCTGCGTAGTTGAAATTGTAATGACGCTGCGATTCTTTAAAAATACATTTGTGTAAAAAATAAACAACAAAACCCAAAATCTAGATATCTGTAACTAATCAAGATATCGCAACATAGCTCGAGGATATTCATATTTGAGGTACATACTCTATATGTGCAAATGTGCAAAGTTCTTGACATCATACATGCAGAGTTATGGATTGCGGATATGCCTACCCGTCAAAAACGTGAAATTTCCTTAAATCCAATATGGCGGCCAGACGGTGCCTCGTAGCCCCATGGATCTTCAGTTGAAATTGAAGGTAATCGGATTCCAGACCTGCTCCAGAAATTTGGTAGTCATCGGACTTGTAGTTTCGGAGATTATTGCTTTGGAAATGGAAAATTTTGAATTAATTTTGAATTATCTCCCCTTTGCTATTGGGCCTAGAGCCTTGAGATTTTTACAGAAACAACTTCAGCACTGTCGGCACGTGGTGATTTTTTTAAAGCGATTCTGTCCAGCGGTGCTTTTGTAGGACTGGCTCAAAATACGGCGGAATAATAAATAATAAAACCATTAACGATTCCAATAGGTCTCCTGCCTAGTGGCAAGGAGCCCTAATTATTGAAAGCTATTGCTCGTAAAATATGTCCTTGCGTCAACATCGAAAATAACTCCATAATGAAAAACAATTAACTTAAATTTTCGAAACATACACAAATAATCTCTGGCTTATTTAAGACGTGTCGCGAATAATTTCACAGTTGGTAGAATTAACATGAAATTACTCCATCATATCCCGTTGCATCGTTCACAGAATAATTCTGCCTCTGACAGTTTCCCGCAAGGTTGTCACTGTTATGTTCATCTACTTTGAAAAGCTTGGACACAGTCCAGTCCCAAACGAAGAAAAACAAAGTTCCAAGGAATCACAAGTTAGTCGCATGTACACTAAGCAGCAGCACTGTCACCCCCTTTGTCGCATGCCGGGGTTGAGGCAGTACGTGAAATCATGATCGGCCGGTCATAAAAATCAACAGTCTTTGATGAGCTACAGGTCGTAGGTTGATTGTCAGAAAGGATCTATTCCTTCGATTCTGCAGGGTTCAGATTCGACAGTCAGTCATGTATTACCCACTGTCACTTCAAATTTCAACCTTTCGCAAAATGTAAACACTGGCCTCGTCCGCCATTTCAAACTGTTGCGTAACTGTCTACTTCCAGGAAAATAAGTAGGTCAGGCGATTCCATTATAGTGTGGCCAGGGGGTACAGTTTCATGGCACACAATTATAGAAACCATATCAGTTATGACAAAGCGTTTCTCACAAACATAGCTATTACCCCCGCCACATGTCGATATCTGAATGTCGCAATTATCCTCTGTCTGACCCTGTAAACGTTACCGAAACTGTCATCTGATGCCTTGATACAAAATGCGAACAAATTCCATCCATTAGGTTTGGAGATATCGCAAGAATACTCGCTGTGACCTTGAAAATAATCCGAAGGTCCCTGAATTCGACTGGCGTTAGACAATACTCCCAACGCATCTTTGTACTACCTTTAAGCAAAACATATTAATTCTGTCTTGTATTTTCGCACTAAAAAGTTAGACATGTGCAAAACACTTTTCACTGTGAATTTAGAATGAGCACAAGTTTCCCAATCAATTGGTGTTGGGGGAACCCCGCCAATGCACCTTGATAGACAATTGGATCAAAATCTATTAATACTTTCCTGAGTTCGCAGCTACCAGGCTTGGCATGTGCAAAACTGTTACTTCGCTTTGACCTTTAAAATGACCTCAAGGTTACTAAATTCAAGCGGTGTCGGTAAATCTCCAATTTCCAGTCAATAAACCTTGGTACCAAATCTGAACAAAATCCATCCTTTCTTTCTCGAGTTCTTTCAGTAAACCGAAGGGGGATTAATTTGAACAAGCGATTGTAGTTTTGAAATTGCTTTTTGTGCAGTTTAATATCTAAGTTTGATTATAGCCGACTTCTACCAATCTCAAACATAGCATATTTTGTTTCCTGAAGTTTGTGATGCATTTTATTGCAGATTTTACGTTTTGTGGGAGTACCAAGCCAAGATAATCAGTCTCACCAAATGGGAGGCTGCAACATAGCAAAACCAATTTGCTTGTGGCTGACAGATAATATGTAGAAAAATAAAACATAAAAAAACAGCTGCATTTGAATCATATTCTAGGTGAGGCTGACTTCTGTTTGAACGTCCCTCGTAGTTATACCCGTTAGAACACCCACCCACCTCTCCGACTCTACATGCATGGAAGTGTGTTAGATATACCCGTTAGAAATTGTAATGTTATTACAATTTACGTAAATATTTATTACATTTTACCGCAACGAAAATTATTACAATTTACGTCAATTTTTATTAAAATTTACGTTTTTATTACAATTTACGTCAAGTTTATTACAATTTGTTGCAAGTATTACAATTTGCGTTTTTATTACAATTTACGTGGCATTTATGAATAAACGAGAAAGAAAATGTGCAGAGATATGAGATTTTTTGGCCAAAATGTCGAGGATTTACGCGTCACCAATAATTATACCTTGCGAGACGTGAATAACGGCTATTTTTGACCAACCCTCCTTAAAAAGATTGGATTGAAAAAGTAAAGTTTGTTCTTCCGATTTCAGATAATCTACATGGGGATTGCCTCGTACGCCCCTTCCACGGCCCTGGAAGCAGGTAACTGACTGCATTTATTCGCTGTCAATTGTCTCTCTATATTGTTGGTACAATCAATATCTCTTCTTTTGTCTAATATACGGAATAATGTGTAGATTTTTTCAGTTTATTGGTCATTTATTATACAGAGGTCATCATATGTCTGTGACATGTACGGGGTATATAGCGGCAGCCGAAAACAGGGATTGTGTTCCAATATTAACAATGTTAATATCGGGCGTGACAACCATTACAGAGAAGCCAGGTAGTAGCGTAACCCTTTCATGTTGTCCCGCCATATAGGACGTCAGTACTGCCGCACAACGAAGCGCATGTGATACATGTGGTCTCACCATAGGCAAATTGCCTCTTTTAATCCAGCAGAAAATGGATACCCGGTAGGATAAGACATATGACTATTAACCTTCTTGCGCCTCATGGACAGCTTGGGTTATCCGGGGTAATAATAATAGCGCTTTTGGCAAAATATTCATCACGGAATGGCGCTATTATTATCATGATATATCTGGGATATTGGGAGTGGCGCGTTATACAACAAACACACATTCAAGTTGTCATTAACAATAATGAGCTGTGTCCTTTCCTGTGTTGTGGTGCACCTCTTGCCATTACACTTCAACCCCAAAACTGACGACGTTGAATAACGCAAGCGTGACTGAGACGTTCTCCTTTGTAAACCTCTGCAGACCTTTCAGAGCTGCTAAGGTGAAGCTTGGATCCGCCTGTGCGCGGCAACACTAAGTTAGGCCTGGGTGCCGTTCTACTAACCGATCTTAGCCCTATGCCAATCGTAAACCCCTAAAATCCCAATCTTAGCGTGACGTTACGATCGGCATACCGTTCCACTAACCAATCTTACCCAAGTCAATCGTAAAGTCAAGATTCAAAATCTAAGTTGCTCATGACCAACTTAGGATAGCTAAAATCAATCGTAGTGAAACCAAAATGGTGGCTTTCCTATTCTATGTGAAAAAATAAGAGCGAGCATTTCACCGTGAGCGTCCCCTAAAATCCCCCCATGAAATGAATTTGTATATTTCTGTGATGTAAACAAACACTGCACTGAAGCCTTACAAATGTCAGGCAAGTCTGACCACTGTCGTCATGGGAACACAACCGAGCGAGTCGGTATAACACATTTGTACAACAATATTGCAACGTCATGGTTAAGAATAGGGACAGCCGTGAAGTGAGCAATGTTCTGAAGCCAAAAGATACAAATATGTTTGATTTCACTGCGCATATTTGGTGGGGGATTCTAAAGGCAGGCCGCGTGTTATTCAAGACCACTGACAGATTCTACATACTTTATAGAGGATGCCTCGTCACGCCTTGTTTATTCTGATTGACAAGGTTCAGGCACATATTAAAAGCTCTGACACAATTGACATTTTTAAAGTTCAAAACCTGTTCTCACTATATTACTTATAATCTCGGCTGTAAATACTCTCGTGTAAATTATCTGTACATAGCGCTTTGAGCATGCCCCAGGATGTGGAATAGGCGCACTATAAATATGCATTTATTATTATTATATTATGCCTGATACCCAGCGTTCACACGCACTTGCACCTGAAACCAAGGTGCTCACTACCCTAATATTTTGCTCTAGGTTTTTTCTCCACGTTTACACTTGGTTGGAAAAATACCCATGAAGGACCGGGTTAGAATATTGAACTTCAATAACCCAGTCCACAGGGCGTGTGTTTCATGGATCAGTGCAAGACATTTGTGTATTTTCTTAAACGCAAGGAATACATATTTCTCGACTACAGTTACTAGTGCTGTCCGTGGAGAGTAGAGCATGGAGTGAGTGAGTTTAGTTTTACACCGCACTCAGCAATATTCCAGCTAGATGGCGGCGGTCTGTAAATAATCGAGTCTGGACCAGACAATCCAGCGATCAACAACATGAGCATCGATCTGCGCAATTGGGAACCGATGACATGTGTCAAGCAAGCCAGCGAGCCTCGCCAACCGATCCCGTTAGTCTTACGACAAGCATGGGTTACTGAAGGTTCATTCTAACCCGGACCTTCACGGGTTGTGTAACATTGGATGCTAAAAGATTATTTTGGTAACATGGTTTTCCTGAGATCTCCGTGAAAAGGGCATTCCATACAGAAATGATATTCTGACTCAATTGTTGGAATAATACAGTGGGGACACGGTCAAACGTGGGACGGTGGGGTAGCCTAGTGGTTAAAGCGTTCGCTTATCACGCCAAAGACCCTGGTTCCATTCCCCATGCACATGGGTAAAACGTGTGAAGCCCATTCCCGTTGTTTCTACCGTGATATTGCTAGAGTATTGCCAAAAGCGGCGTAAACCCATACTCACTCACTCACTTTGCAGTGACGGGATTCCCAGTGTGGGCAGCTATCGTCACAGTGGGCGTTGTCTCTTGCTTCTATACGGTACTGGTACGTACTCCATACACTGACCACCAGTGATCAGCACTGTGATGAGTTACACCTACCCAAGTCTCGCCAGTTATCACTAAATCACGGATGCCTTGCAACGACATCTGGTTGTTGCATGTTCATTTCTTCCTTGAAATTTCGAGATACTGAGGTGCAATATTAAGATGCTATTTTGAAATTAAAAGAGAATTAAGCTGATTTTTTTAAAATTAGTGATGCAGTCGTTGACTTCCATACCAACATTGTGACCCCGGAACCTCCAATTTTGTCGGCTCCTACGAGCATGGTGTTCATAAGGTTCCTTACACGTAATCTCAAATAGAAAATAGTTCGTGTATTTTTTACAAATACTGTTCACAATTCTAACGACCTAAATAATAGTGTTTGTCAAACAACATGATCATTATGAACATTATATTGTAGGGTGGGCTGAAGGCGGTGGTGTGGACGGACCTATTCCAGGCTCTGGTCATCGTGGCGGGTCTACTCGCTGTCGTCATTCAGGTAAGGAGAACTAACCGTCTCTGTTAAATGTGTCTAGGGCCTCTACTGAACAACCTACACCCAAAAAATCATAAACAAAGAGCTATTTCGAACTTTTTGTTAGATCATCTCTCTCTCTCTCTCTCTCTCTCTCTCTCTCTCTCTCTCTCTCTCTCTCTCTCTCTCTCTCTATCTCTCTCTCATCTCTCTCTCTCTCTCTCTCTCTCTCTCTCTCTCTCTCTCTCTCTCTCTCTCCGTGTTAGTTTTCTGTTCAGTACAAGCGTGGAAATGGGTGGGAAAGGGATTAGTCGAGTACATTTTGACATTTTTGGACTTCAGGAGCCATTTGATGAAGAGTTCAGGAGCACTCGCTTAAAGGGCAGAGGTCGAGCAGCGCCCAAGACAACTGAAGTAGGACAAAACTCAATGCGATTTGTGACATAATCTTGACAAACGTTTTGCACCAAATTTTACAAACGCCTGTCTGTCTCTATCTCTTTAGCAATATTCCAGTAACTTTCACGGACACCAGAAATAGACACGCTGGGGAATCGAATTCATTTTAAAATAATACGTAACATGGATCCGTGCTGTGCTGAAATATATTCGTTTGCAACTAAATAAATAAACGTAGTGACAGTTTTCGCGAACACAGACACACACTCTCTCTCTCTCTCTCTGTCTCTCTCTCTCTCTGCCTCAGTCTCTCTCTCCCCTCTCTCTGTGTCTCTATCTCTGTCTCTCTCTCTCTCTCTCTCTCTCTCACTCACACACACACACACACAAATTGTATGTTCACATCTACATGAATGTCTTATTTGTGCCGAACAGGGCACAATCCTTACGGGCAGCATCGGTGACGTTTGGCGCATCAACTACGAATGGGGAAGAATCAACTTCTTTGAGTAAGTGAAAATGAATAGCTCTAACATTGCCCTTCAGGTGAGCTCGTTGTGTGATTGTGATTAGAACTAGCTGGGCCTTCATTTAATGTATCACTTAATGAGATAGCTACTTTGCCGGCATTCACGATTGCTACTGCCTAGATCTTCACTGGCTTTAGTTCTCTCAATGAGGTAGCTACTTTCAGGGTGTTGACTTTCACCAGTTTTGGTAATTAAACTGCTACTACCTTGATCTTCACTGGCTTCAGTTCTCTCAGTGAGTTAACTGTCTTCGTCTTCACTTATCCCAGTTTTATTCAGTAAGATACCTACTTTATCGGTCTTCACTTTCACTTGGTTTTTTATTGGATTGCTACTCTCTGGGCCCGGACTTACCAGAGTTGTACTGAGATGAGATGTTTACTGCCCTAACCTTCTCTCGACCCTAACCGCCAGCACACCAAGTCAACCGCCTAAGCCGCGGTGACTGACTCTGAGGGTGTGGGTTCGAATCCCGGATCAACCCAACAAAAGTACTAATATCTGTACTATACATAGAAAGTGTAATCCCCAATATAGCATATGTTACAGGTGACATGTGTTGTATCGAAATACAATCGTATTCTTGGCTGTGAGGCCGAACTACTGAATAAATATATCTCTATATCTCTAAAGCTACACCATACTGTTTTTAATAAAACATTTAATTCATAGATATCTTTCGTCATACAGCAGAATCTTGTACACGGCAGACATAGTTCAGAGTTTATATTCGTTTCAAGTCTTAACAAAATCAGTTTATCACCTCAGGTTTGTCTGGATTTCTGCTCATTGTCCAGGTGTTTTACTGGAGTGATCGGTACTGCCAGAGCAGGATGTGCTTACCCTTTTGAAGAACATACGGAATCATTAGCGCTATGAGCGGGTATTAGTACCTGGATGTAGCGCTATATAAATACCCACGTTATTATTATGTTTTACAGATTAAAGATAGTATGCAGCAGAGAGGATTCGGGTGATCCTGGCACAGTCAGGCTGGTAAGGCTCATCATCAGCTCAGGGCCCTTGCCCCCCTCTACACGCAGCCCAGACAGCGAATGGGACTTCTCCCAGGAAACGCTGCCTAGTCGAACCCACCAAGAACTTTCCGGAGAATATGAATGCTCCCCAACACTGCAGCCTTCTGCATTACCCAGAGTGTCAGAAGGGCTGTACTCCCGGTGGAGAACCTGGGCACTCTCCTGATCTGCGCCAAGAGATCAGGAGGTACCAAACCAAGGGCACCGACAGTGTACCTGGGATGCAAGCGAGACATTTCAAAGGCGAGGTCTGCATACTTAGTATGCTTTTCCTGAGTCTTGCCAATCACATTGGTGTCAAAAGGGACAGAAAATTCAATGATATATATAAATTCATTGGCTTTATCAAAAAGGACAAGAACAGGTTTGTTGGCTGGAATTCTCCTCAGGCTGTATACGGGCCGATTCCAGAGAAGTTTGAAAGCATCATTTTCCATGACGCCCTGGACATGTTCAGGGTCGTACCATGGATGGACCTCGGAGTCAAAGCCACAGGCCTGTCTGAGACGGTAGTAAAAGCAACGAGCCATGCCATCATGTCGTTTAAGATATGCTGTTTGTGCCAAGGAAGGGCATCCACTGACAAGGTGTTGGACAGTCTCTGTGAATTCATTGCAAAGTCGACATTATTATTATTATGTTTTACAGATTTAAGATAGTATGCAGCAGAGAGGGTTCGGGTGATCCTGGCACAGTCAGGCTGGGAAGGCTAATCATCAGCTCAGGGTCCTTGCCCCCTCTACACACAGCCAAGACAGCGAATGGGACTTCTCCCAGGAAACTCTGCCTAGTCGAACCCACCAAGAACTTTCCGGAGAATATGAATGCTCCCCAACACTGCAGCCTTCTGCATTACTCAGAGTGTCAGAAGGGCTGTACTCCCGGTGGAGAACCTGGGCACTCTCCTGATCTGTGCCAAGAGATCAGGAGGTACCAAACCAAGGGCACCGAGAATAATGGGGAGCCTGACGACAGTGTACTTGGGATGCAAGCGAGACATTTCAAAGGCGAGGTCCGCATATTTATCATGCTTTTCCTTAATCTTGCCAATCACATTGGTGTCGAAAGAAACAGAAAATTCAATGATATATATAAATTCATTGGCTTTATCAAAAAGGACAAGATCAGGTTTCTTGGCTGGGATTCTTGTGAGGCTGTATATGGGCCTGTTCCAGAGAAGCTTGAAAGCATCATTTTCCATGATGCCCTGGACATGTTCAGGGTCGTACCATGGATGGACCACGGAGTCAAAGCCACAGGCCTGTCTGAGACGGTAGTAAAAGCAACGAGCCATGCCATCATGTCGTTTAAGATATGCTGTTTGTGCCAAGGAAGGGCATCCACTGACAAGATGTCGGACAGTCTCCGTGAATTCATTGCAAAGTCGACATTTCATATTGATATTTTCTTTAAGAATCACATTTAGGCGATTACGAGTGGGAAGTGACTGGTCCTGAGCAGCAAAAAGAAAGCCCTCAGTTTCACATTTGAGACCAGCCGACTTCATCCAGGCGAAGGAGTCGGTGGGATTGCTGTTCTGTTCCACACACTGCATGTACACACGATGCAATGGCTTCTCAGAAAGCTTCTCCACAAAAGACCGACTCTGAGCAGACTTGGTGAAGGACTTCACCTGGTTTACTCCCATCGCTGTACCCTCCAGCAGTACATCGCCATCAACAAAATCAACCTGAAATCTCAGATTCTGTCCAACAACCTTGGCATGCTTAAAATAGCTGTGGAATTCCTTGCTTTCATCATGATTCTTCACATGCATCACTAGAGGATCATCCGATAAATAAATATGTGCAAAAGTACACAATAAAATTCTATCATGAAGAGCCTCCACATTAATCAAACCCCGACCTCCAGAATTGATTGGCATGTATAAACGGTTAAGAGAGGAACGAGGGTGGTGGGCTCTGTTATCAGATATGATCCTTCTGGTCAGACGGTCAAGACTCTGGATGTCTTGTTTTGTCCAATCAACTACTCCGTAGGAATAGGAAAGGACTGGCACAGCATAAGTATTGGTGGCTTTGACTTTGTTTCGAGCATTTAGGTCTGAGCTCCAGATTTTCTTTAAACGAGATTTGTACTCGGCCCAAAGTTTGTCTTGAATCTGGGCATTCTTGAGCTTGTCTCGAACTTGCGTTCCAAGATAGGAGTAGGCCTGATCTTCCACAAGATGCTCAATAACTCCTCCCCCTTGTAACTTGACTGGTCCATCATTAACTACCTTGCCACGTTTCAAATGAAGAGTATTACATTTGTCGAGTCCAGATGTCATGCCAATATCATTAGAAAAGGACTCGACAAGGAGAACCTGCTCTTTCAATTGGAATCTCCTTTGGCAAGGAGCTCGATGTCATCCATGTAAAGGAGATGAGTAAGAGGTGTTGGGGATCTGTGCTGAGGAGGTCCGGGATGGTAACCCTCCTCTTTATTGAGCAGAAAGCTCAAAGGATGTAAAGACAGACAAAAAAGCAAAGGACTAAAAGAATCCCCCTGAAATATTCCCCTTCTAATTGGAATAGATTCCGAAGTCTGCACCTGCCCTTGCGAGTACATCTGAAGTTGAGTCGGCCAGCAACTCATTAAAGACTTGAGTAAATCAAGTAGTCGCTCAGGAGGTCAATACAAAGAAGAGACTTCAGAATCCATTCGTGAGGGACAGAGTCGTATGCTTTTTTGTAGTCAATCCAGCACATGGAGAGGTTGCAGTGATATGTTTTAGCCTCTTCCAAAATCATTTTCTGTACAAGAAGTTGATCCTTACACCCCCAACATCCCTTTCTTGCTCCCTTCTGCTCTCTGTAAATGATATCATTGGAAGAGCAGTAAGATGACACGATGACCTGTGAATATTTTGTATTGTGTATTCAAACATGAGATAGGGCGGAAGTTTTTGGGATCAGTCAAGTCTCCATTCTTAGGGAGAAGTATTGTGCGACCTTTGCAGAACCATGGAGGAACATCACCTGTGGACACAGGGGAACAGTTTCCAATACCGATTTCGAATGCCATCAGGCCCTGGAGCTGTATTAGATTTGGACTTTTTTATAACCCTTTTCAGGCAATCTGGTGAGATGTAACAGACAAACGACCTAGTTACCTTCTCATGCATTGCATGGTCATAATCACGGATCCATGGTGCCTCAAGGTTACAGTTGCCGGGTACAGACCGCAACTGTAGAACCTTTCATTGGCATCCATGGGAGGCCGTTTGTCATGTTCACCATCACCCTTTGTTTTCAATTGCCTGTAGAAGTGCTTTTCATTGTTTCTAAAAACTTAATTTGGTTTGATGAATTTATTTTTATTTTCCCATTTTTTCTTTCTTTCAGTCCAAACCTTTATTTTGGCCTTAAGGGAATCGACAATTTGGAGAAGTACCCTTTCTTTTGTTGTCTTGTATTGTAATTTCAATTTTCTCAAAATTGCCTTTGCCGTTTTGACATTGGACTCCCTGATGATTATTATTATCTTTATTATTATTATCACTTTATGTGATCCATTCCTATAATTGTCACCGCTGTTGACACAGCTGCTTTTCACGTCTGAAGGAGATTGTTTCGGCAGATAATTGTTTCATGTGTATTTACACGTGTTTTTATCGCTTTAGTTTCGACCCCTCGCCCACAACCCGTCATACGTTTTGGTCTCTAGTTGTTGGTGGAACCATAGCATGGACTGGAACCTATGGGGTCAACCAGGCCAGCATACAACGCTTTTGTGCTGTGCCTACACTGAAGAAAGCCCGGATGTAAGTACAGCTATCGTGGGTAGTTAAGATCGAATGTAAGATGTAAAACTCAAGTCTTTTAGTATGATATACTGTCATCCTAGCGAATGGAAAACTCCAAAACTTGTTGATCGTAACTGGTGAGAATATATCCTCGGCATTTTTTTGTTTGTTGTATAGATTCATCGGAAAGGATAGTCATATCAATGATGTTTGCATGTCATCGTACCCTGGCGGAGTGAGGCGTTGTCTGACCGAGACTGGTTACATGTATTGCGATGTATAACTGGTGTTCTGTGACCGCGTCGTGAAGCAACAAATGCACAAAACACCTACTATTTGATCCCTCAGTGGCTGGGACCTTGCTGAAAGCAGCGTAAAGCCATACTCCCTCACACACTCAACACTCAAGATGAAGGCCACTCCGTTTCACCGGTGCATCGTTAGGTTTCATGCAACAATACAAACTCGTATTATCTGTGTCGATGCAAGAGTGAGTGAGTGAGTTAGGTTTTACGCCGCTTTTGGCAATATTCCAGCCTTATCACGGCGGGGGACACCAGAAATGGGCTTCACACATTGTACCCATGTGGGGAATCGAACACACGCCTTCGGCGTGAGGAGCGAACGCTTTAACCACTAGGCTACCCCACCGCCCGTGTCGATATAAGGCAACATGCCTGCTAATTCACTTACAGTACTTTCAGTGACACACTCCTGCATTTACGTTAATTAAAATAAACGTTTCAAGTTTACAACTAAAATAGCCGGTACCAATATGCTACTGCAAGCTTCTCCTCTGGAAGCTTCTCAATCATATTGAAGTCAAGATGTGACCTGAATGTGCGTACTTTTTGTGATACATATTATACTGTGACCTGTTCTCCCCTTCTGTTCAGATCAAACCCGTGAAGATCCGGGTTAAAACTGGTCTTCAGCAACCAGTGCTTGTTGTAAGAGGCGACCAACGGGATCGGGTGGTCAGGGTAGCTGACTTGGTTGACACATGTCATCGTATCCCAGTTACGTGGGCCGGTGGGGGTAGCCTTGTGGTTAAGCCCCAGACAAACTAATCCCTCTTGTGAGATGCCTTGTAACATCCAGATTGGATTACTGTAATAGCCTTCTATACGGACTCACCAACGGACATCTCAATAAACTACTAAAAGTCCAAAATACAGCAGCACGTATTATATCCCTTACCACTAAACGAGACCATATCACCCCTGTACTCTCATCATTACACTGGCTTCCAATCAAGTTCCGGATAGACTTCAAACTTCTTTGGATTGTGCATAAATGTTTGCATAATCAAGCTCCTTCATATCACTCTGAACTTCTCACTGTGTACTCCCCTACTAGAACTCTCAGATCTCAAGACCAATGTCTTCTATCCATTCCCAAAGTTCTCCTTTCTTCCTTTGGCAAGAGGTCTTTCCAGTACGCTGGTCCTACTCTGTGGAATTCTCTCCCTCTCCACATAAAGCAGTCTCCCACATTGGAAACTTTCAAAATTAAATTGAAGACTTACTTTCTTTCCAAAGCCTATCCCTAAAATCAATCTTTCTGTCATCAATTTCAGTGTATACTTATTTTACTTTTTAATCCTCTGTATGCATTGTATGTATGCTTTTATGTAGCGCCTTGAACATGTATCAGTGGGTGGAAAAAAGCGCGCTAAAAATATCCATTATTATTGTTATTATTATTATTATTATTATTATTATCAACAATCTCTACAGATCACTGCTGATGAACGCTGCCGGGGTGCTGCTAATGCTGACCATTCTGTGCCTGGCAGGAATCACAATCTTCGCCTACTACGCCATTAGGGGCTGTGACCCTCTGTCAGCCAAATACATCGGAAACTCCAACCAGGTACGTGGTGGTTAAAGGGTTCAATTCCGGAATTGGTACAAAGCCTGACGTCAACTTCCATTTTCGTGGGTTAGAATTGATCTTAAGTAACCCATGCTTGCCGTAAGAGGCAACCAACAGGTGTTCAGGGTCGCCTACTTGTCATCGTATCCCAGCTGGATAGATCGATGCTCATGCTGTTGATCACTGGGTTGTGTGTCCCAGACTCATTTTTTGCAAACGGCCTCCATTTAGCTGAAATATCACTAAGTGCGGCATAAAACAAACAACAACAAACATCTTTCTAAAATGCAATCGATATGCATAGTGTTGTCCCAGTTAATCATGTATTTTTACAGCAATCGTCATTATGACAATTCCCATGTTTGAATCCCGTTGATCATATCGTGGTTGTTGTGTATTGCGCGACTATAAAAGGACAAACCAAATTCATCATTTCATTACGGAAATTGATGACGTAAACAAAGTATTGAATGCTACTGACCGAAATATCGCCATTTGACGTTTGGGGGCAATGGAGTAACAGTCTGCTGTTGCAAGACACTTTAAAGTCCACCACAGCATCATATCTCAATTATGACATAGATATACCCTCTTCAATTCGACCCAAGATCGTCGGACCGATTCATCCGGGTGTTTCACCTTCGTCACTGATTTGCTACAGCAACGGACACTGCAGGACAGGTGCCTGGTCTTCGAAGAATGTCCGACCAAACCATCAGAAATCGTCTGAGAGAAGTGGCAATTCGAACATATCGACCAAAAGATGGACCTCTCCTGACACGACTACACCGACAACGACGTGTCCAATGGTGCAACAGAGTACAGGCATGGAACTGGGGATCATGCAACAACGGGATGGGAGACAACGTGTCTATCGACGTCCACACGACCTTTTTGCGCTGAACTGCGTTCGATAGGTGGACAAAAGCATCATGGTATGGGGAGCCATGTCCTACACGGGTAGCTGAGACCTAGTGGTGGTTCAAGGCAATTTTACAGCAAACTGCAACATCGACCAAATCCTATGACCTCACCTCCTTCCACCTTTTAACCGCCAGGGAGCTGTTTCAAACGCGACAACGCTCGACCCCACACAGCTCGTGTAGCAGGTGCCTTTTTTGCCAATCTCTATAGAGATATAATTGATTCGAAACAAAGATGACAATATCTCTATTTCCTGTTTGATCCCAGCTTCTGCCGTACTTCGTGATGGAGGTGCTAGACTACCCCGGGGTGCCCGGATTGTTCATCGCCTGTCTGTTCAGCGGGACGCTAAGGTATGTAGCACTGTATATAGTAGACACTCAGTAATCCAACACACGAATGCTCAATGCTATTTAGAAACTGGTCAAATGTAACATATGTTATATTTGGAAGTACACTTTCTCAGTAAATTACAGCTTCTAGTACATTTTAAAAGTACATATTCTAGTGTGAATATTAGTTTGCCGTGTCAGTACGTGTCAACACATGTTGGCTTTTGTAGCACCCCATCTTCGTGCCCTGATCCACCATTCCACCTATTGTTTGCTTATTGTAGCACCACATCCTTGTGCCCTGATCCACCATTCCACCTATTGTTTCCTTATTGTAGCACCCAATCTTCGTGCCCTGATCCACCATTCCGCCTATTGTTTGCTTATTGTAGCACCCCATCTTCGTGCCTTGACCATCCACCATTCCACCTATTTCCACCTATTGTTTGCTTATTGTACACCACCACGAGGATTCACCATTCCACCTATTGTTTGCTTATTGTAGCACCACGAGGATTCAACCTATTGTGCCCACCACATCCTCCTGATCCACCATTCCACCTATTGTTTGCTTATTGTAGCACCACGAGGATTCCACCTATTGTTTGCTTATTGTAGCACCACATCCTCGTGCCCTGATCCACCATTCCACCTATTGTTTCCTTATTGTAGCACCACATCCTCGTGCCCTGATCCACCATTCCACCTATTGGTTGCTTATTGTAGCACCACACCCTCGTGCCCTGATTCACCATTCCACCTATTGTTTGCTTATTTTATGGCTGTAGTACCGTGTCCTCGTGTCTCTATGAACCAGTACACTTCTTGTTTTATTGTAGTAATACTGTGTTCTCATGTTTCTGTAAACCAGCACACCTCTTGTTTTATTGTAGAAATACTGTTCTCATGTGTCTGTAAACCAGTACACCTCTTGTTTTATTGTAGTAATACTGTGTTCTCATGTTTCTGTAAACTAATACACCTCTTGTTTTATTGTAGTAATACTGTGTTCTCATGTGTCTGTAAAGCAGTACACCTCTTGTTTTATTGTAGTAATACTGTGTTCTCATGTGTCTGTAAGCCCACCTCTTGTCTGTAAAGCAGTACACCTCTTGTTTTATTGTAGTAATACTGTGTTCCCATGTTTCTGTAAACCAGTACACCTCTTGTTTTATTGTAGTAATACTGTGTTCTCATGTGTCTGTAAACCAGTACACTTCTTGTTTTATTGCTGTAGCACCGTCTCCTCGTGTCTTAGTGCCGTGACGGCGGTAGTCTGGGAGGACATGCTGAAACCATTCCTGGAAGACAGACTCTCTGAAGGACACAAGACAATAGTGGCTAAAATATTAGGTTGTTTTTCATGATTTCTGTTTTAGTCAAGATCCAGATCCCGTTAGTCGCCTCTTACGACAAGCGTGGGTTATTGAAGGTCAATTCTAACCCGGATCTTCACAGGTCCGATTCTGACATGAAGTAACATATGAAATGAAAGAAAGTGAAAAGGAGGGTAATTGTAAGCTTATGGGTGTATCAAAAGTGATTAAGAGTTATCTGATAGAACAATTTGAATACCAAAGCTTAGACGTAGCTATCAGCCATGAAGCATAGTTTTCAAACACTTTTGATAATGTTATTTCATCAAATATTTTAGGAGTGTGAAGCTTTTATTGACCCTATCATTGAAATTTAGCTCTATTCCTATACTGTATTAAACATTAGACACCATATGAGTTGTTTGGATTTCATATCAGTACCAATTTTGTCCTCCACTAAGTATATGTAGTTATACAATGGCGGCAATTTTGGCTGCCATTTTGACTTCTGGGTAATATGTTAACATTCCTAATAACATGCCGTCACTCTAGAAGTAAAGAGAAAACAGAAACAACTTGTTTTAGTAGCAAAAATAATGTTAACTGCCATTAAATAAATCACTCTCACACATTTCCATGAAAAGTCGGAGAATTGCAAAAATACCCCTGTCTGAAAGAATAAGCTGTAAAACATTAAATTACCATGCTATGACCATACAAAATGACTTGTTTTGTGCCCAAGCCACCACTCTAGGAGAGATAAGTGTCAAAACACATCAAAAGTATCAACTTTGGATGTAAATGGAAACATTCAGTGTTCATTTTTATGTAAATTTAAGTGCTGAGAAGGAAAAACACGACAAAACAAAATGGCGGCCATTTTGATTTTTATTTTCATTTCAAAATTATGTCAAATAACTACATCCTTTAGCACTACACAGAAGTCAAAATGAAAGTGATCAGATTGATAGTAGTAAAACTTTAAATGATTAACTTTGAGGTGTTGTCCGGCAGCAAACCAAATGTGACGAAAATGCTCGCAGACCCCCACCACATATAATGACCTGTAAAAAAACCCCTGATACCACAATCTGAGAGTATTACAGGCCTTTCATGAGCCAAGACATCATACTAAGTGAAAATAGTGTCAAAACAAAATCCAATACTGGGAGGCTACGATTTGAAATTTTCCAGCTGCCTCTTCCTGGACTAATTTGGGATTGCACTTTCTTAGTAAAGTACAGATTCTAGTACTTTGTTGGGTTGAGTCCCATCCGGGATTCGAACCCACACCTTCAGAGTCAGGCACCTAATCGCCAGAACACAAAGTCAGCCGCCTAACCCGCTCAGCCACCGTGGTCTGTACTTTACTAAGAAAGTTTAATCCAAAATATAGCATGTGTTGTATGTCCCCATTACTGTTTTAGTACTAATATTCGGCGGCGCCGGCACAGCTATGGCTTTTATGGCTAAAAACCTGGGAGGAACAGTGCTTCAGGTTGGTTAACATCGGGCCTTTGGGACCAGTGAGCTACATTTAAGTTTCATAAGGTGACCCCCATTAATGCGGAAACCTTTCATTTCTGGACATATACTGTTAGAAACATAGATATTCCTGTCAATTACGTGGGCGGATTCAAATGATGTCAATCCCTGGATAATCAGGTCCAGACTTTACTTCATTTAACACCACCATCAGTCCGGACTTGAACAAGATTACACACACTCTCTCTCACACACACACAGTAGAGGTGTTGTAAGTCCCCATGGGCCCTACAGTCTGTAGTATGGGGATCTGCCTTCAGTGACTGGCGATCTATAGCCCAGTTTTATATCGCTCTCTGTAGTGATAGCATTTTTATGACTGCATGCTAGTTTTACATGTACATATGTGATAGTATAGCTATTTTACTGTCCTTCGTTTAAAGATATTTATATTGATCAAGTTTACTTTTATATATGGTATTTTCACAGTCACGATATGTCTGAAATACTGCCGATGTGACCTTAAATTTTAACTCATTCACTCACTCACATACATACACGCACGCACATGAACATATACGTCGCTACACACATACTATTCTCAACAACATTTCTGTGTTATATATACAGGCTGCCCTAAGTTTTGCTGGAGCTGCTACTGGGCCTCTGATGGGGATGTTTGCCCTCGGCGCCTTCTTCCCCTGGGCCAACTGGATTGTGAGTCTCTGAAGCACTTTGAAAATAATTCCTTTTGATAAACAACTCATGCCAGAATCCAACAGCCATTGAATTAAGCTTGAAGATACGTGTCACAGATAGCCTACTCGACCCGTGAATAACCCGGTTAGATTTGGTCGTTATAACCCATGTTTATCATACGGGGTCGCTATGTTTGTCGTAAGAGCGCTAGCCCAGATAGCATTCAGACGTTGACAATGGTTGGCAACGTCCTGGTCGGATTTCATACGTTGGCCCGACGCGAATAACGGGATCGGGTGGTCATACTTAATGACGCATGTCGGGGTATCCTAAGTGCGATGCTGGATACTCCTGATTTCAATCACTGGATTGTCTGGTCTGATACTTTACAGACCGCAGCAATTAACGTGAATATTGCTGAGTGTGGTGTTAAACAACAATCACACAAATAAATAAATGAAAGCCTAATGCGGGCTAACTTCCTTCCTTCCTCTAGTACTTAAAATCAAAGGTATGCCGTGAACAAACACGTTTTCATGCAAACATTACGAATGGGAAATGCTACCGGTAGCCCAGAATATATCTACCCTTGACGCGTTAGCAGTAGTTGTAGCAGTAGAAGTTGTAGCAGTAGCAGTAGCGGTTGTAGCCATAGTAATAGCTCTAGAAGGAGTAGTAGCTGTAGTAGTAGAGGTAACAGTAGTAGAAGCAGTAGTGGTTTAAGCGTTCGCTCGTCACACCGAATACACCGTTCGATTCCCCACATGGGCACAATGTGTGAAGCCCATTTCTGGTGTCCCCGGCCGCCGTGGCATTGCTAGAATATTGCTTAAAAACGGCGTAAAACTACACTCACTCACTCACTCACTGTTATTCGGTTTATTGAACAAAACCCGAACATATGGTTTGCCAATCAAATGCCACGTTGGACCGTCCCTCATTGGTGTGGTACACTCACTCACTCAGACACCCACCCACCAGCCCACCTACCCACTCACTCACTCACTCACTCACATCGGTGTAGGAACATGACAAATAGAAAGTAGTTCTAACATCGTATGGTATTGCAAAGGGACGGCAGCGCTCGTTTGAATATTTTGTGTCAATCTTTACTTTTGTTAAAGCGATATTGTTCTGGTGTTTCAGGGAGCCGTCGTTGGTGGTGTCTGTGGCCTGGCGTTTCCATTGTGGTTAGGCATTGGAGCATACACTGTGGTCGGTAGCCCGCCCGTCCTAGCCTACCCTACCAGCAACTGCAGCTTCAGTAACATCACAACCATCGCCCCATCCACTGCAGCTACAACCTTAATGACAGATGCTACCACACCAATGAGGGACAGTCCAACGTGAGTCGGACAGGCTCTGTGTTGTCAATACAATACATACTTTGCTTATGTGTACGTGGCATTTGATTGGCAAACCATATTTTTGGTTTATGTTTCAATAAACCAAATAACAAATAGGCCACGCCCACGAACGGAATACCGTTTCCTGACTGGCGTAGAAAATAATAGGTGGGGCTTGTGTTGTATTATTGAAGCCACTGAATTAGCGTTGATGTGATTTGTGTGTTAATGATTAAGTGAGCGAGTGATGTAGTCTTGAGTGAGTTTAGTTTGACTCCGCATTTAGCAATATTCCAGCAATATCACCGCGGGGGACACAAGAAATGGGCTTCATACATTGTACCCATGTGTTACGATGTGTGAAACCCATTTATGGTGTTGGAATATTGGTAAAGGCGGCGTAAAACCATATTCACTCAGGTGCGGTGTGAGTGATCATAGTTCTACGCCGCCTTTAGCAATATGACGGCGGAGGACAACAGAAATGGTCTTTACAATCTTTTCCCATTTTGAGAACTGAGCTTTGACATTCGGCGTGACAAGCGAACCCGTTAACCACTAGGCTATCTATTCCAGGAGCGGTCTGACTGTGCTGTACTCTGTCTCCTACCTGTGGTACACACCTATTGGTACAGCAACTGTCATCATAGTAGGGCTGTTGGTCAGCGTTCTTACAGGTGGGTACCTCACGCTGTCCACTTAGATACGGGGAGCCGGGGAATGTGAGAATGGAAAATCGAATCACACTGACGGTCTAATCGGGATGATATTACAGCACTTCGAGCAAACGTAGTAGTAGTAGTAGTAGTAGTAGGAGTAGAAGTAGTAGTAGTAGAAATAGTAGTAGTAGTAATGGTGGTAGTAGTAGTAGAAGTAGTAGTAGTAGGAGGAGTAGAAATAGTAGTAGTAGTAGTAATGGTGGTAGTAGTAGTAGAAGTAGTAGTAGGAGTAGAGTGAGTGAGTGAGTTTAGTTTTACGCCACACTCAGCAATATTCCAGCTATATGGCGGCGGTCTGTAAATAATCGAGTCTGGACCAGACAATCCAGTGATCAACAGCATGAGGATCGATCTACGCAATTGGGAACCGATGACATGTGTCAACCAAGTCAGCGAAACTGACCACCCGTTAGTCGCCTCTTACGACAAGATAGTCGCCTTCTTATGGCAAGCACATGGGTTGCTGAAGACCTATTCTACCCCGGATCTTCACGGGCCTAGTAGGAGTAGAAGTAGTAGTAGTAGAAATAGTAGTAGTAGTAATGGTGGTAGTAGAAGTAGTAGTAGGAGTAGTAGTAGTAGTAGAAATAGTAGTAATAGTAATGGTGGTAGTAGTAGTAGTAGAAGTAGTAGTAGTATTGGGAGTAGAAGTAGTAGTAGTCGTAGAAATAGTAGTAGTAGTAGACTGACTGACTGAGTTTGGTTTTACGCCGCTTTTAGCAATATTCCAGCAATATCACAGCGGGGGACACCAGAAATGGGCTTCACTCATTGTACCCATGTGGGGATTCGAACCCGGGTCTTCGGCGTGACGAGCCAACGCTTTAACCACTAAACTACCCCACCGCCCCAGTAGTAGTAGAAATAGTAGTAGTAGTAGTAGTAGTAGTAGAAGTAGTAGTAGTAGTAGTAGAAATAGTAGTTGTAGTAATGGTGATAGTAGTAGTAGATGTAGTAGTAATGGTAGTAGTAGTAGTAGATGTAGTAGTAGAAATAGTAGTAGTAGTAGTAGTAGCAATAGTAGTAGTAAGCATAATGATAAGTTTAATGACAAGCATCGATCTACGCAATCGGGATACAATGACATGTGTCAACCCAGTCAGCGAGCCTGACCACTCGATCCTGTTAGGCGCCTCTTACGACATGCATGGGTTGCTGAAGATCAATTCTATCTTGTGGCAGTACTAGTTGTAGCTATAAACTCCCATAATTCACAAAGTAATTTCTCCTTTTTCACCGGTAACAGGCATGAACCGTGTGGGTGACGTGGACACCAAGTACATGGTGCCTTTCTTCGACCGTCTCATTTGCTGTCTCCCTTCATCGATCAGCCGAGTCCTCCGGTGTAATCAGGAGTTTGACAGTCCCGAGGTAAGTCATTACTGATGTTGCTGTGGAAACCGTTGTTGATGACGTAGGCCTGAATTTCCATCCTTTTAAGCATATATTCCAACCGCTTGATTGCGTCCTTTAATTGCTAACGAAGGACACAATGGCGTATTGTCCAGTCTAGAATCCACATATCCTGGCGTCACCTAAACATGTTTGGTTTCTCAAGGGAAACTTGAACTTGAACATGAATACACAATGTCATTTAGAAAGTTTAATCCCAAACATAACATATGTTACACTGAACGTGAACAGTTCTGACCAAACTGGTTACAAGAGTTCAGGTTCGGGTTTAATTATGGTGGTGAAATGGTACGAAATCCAGCTCAAAATAAGACTGGTACCAGTTAACTTCAGCAAATTCCAACTAGATTCAAACTTGATGCCAACAGATAATTCTGTCAAAAGGGTTTAGACAGCTCACATATTTACGACGACTGCAAATGGTGTCAGCAGCAGATACATATGCAAATACATAGTGAGTTGATCGCTGCCCCGAGGTATTTCTGAGTTTATTTATTTACACAGCTGCTCTGCTCGTTGACACTCTCTCCTTATATTTACATCGCAGGTACTGTGTGTGCTCAAGCGAAAGAATTACAGTCAGTAGAACAAAAGATTCAACACAAGATGGCTGACCACAACTCTCTTGACACGAGACTTTGATTGAGAGCCGAGAGTTTACCGTGAGGATAACACACCCTGGTTCTCACAGCATTTGGATAGAAAGCGATAGCCACAAATACACATAGGGATATCCATCCCGGATTATTAAACGATCCAGTTAACAAATCCCGGTGAGGATTAAAGTTTTCTTATTATACTCAATCTCTCATAAATATTGTCACCATTTGGCTATATGCCTCTTGACATAGGGGTATCATTGTTTATGATATACGCCTGAAATATGAATCAGCTTATTATATATTTCTACTAAATATTAACATTTTATCACTCCTATTTTGTGCAAAATAATCTGAAATACGTTTGTTATACGTTTATATATATACCTATATATTTGGTCACAATAACAAAGGAAAAGCTGTTTTCAAAAAGCCATTTAGTGCGCACACAGACACATACACGCACGCAGACATACACACACAAACATGCATACATGCATACACACACACACACACACACACACACACACACACACACACACACACACACACACACACACACACACACACACACTGCATACCTACTGCATACACTGATGCCGTTTGATATATCGTTTTACTAATCATCTGCCACGCAGTAGAGATCTGGAGCCGCCTCTGTCCGCCATGAATGATCACGATGATATCGAAATAATGTTGAAATAATGCCCAATACGCCATTCCTCAAGCCTTCTCAGGTAAATCTGATTCTTTGGAAAGATTGGTGGAACTAATGGAGAGTGAGTGTGTTTGTAGCAATATTCAACAATATTCCAGCAATATCACGGCGGGGACATCAGAAATGGTCTTCACGCTTTGTAGCCATGTGGGGAATCGAACCTGGGTCTTCGGCGCGACGAGCGAACGCTTTGACCACTAGATTACCCCACCATCAATGAACGAATGGGGATGATATATTCAATCCGTGGACACTTCCCCTATCCGATAGCACTTCCGACCCTTAAACGTTCAGAAGCTCCCACCTTCCCAAGACAGGACTCGTACTGTGTCCAAGACAACAAGTACCATTAATCATGTATCTATAGAAAACAAAGCGATCGTATGTTTAACAAAAATGTTTAAAGGGTGGTAAAGAGTTGAAGTTAAAAGGGAGGTAGTACAGGTTGAACACATTTGAACCTTTCTGAACAATTATGAACACTGCAATTTATCTGTATCTTTCCGCAAACGATGTAATATATTTCCATTGAATAAAAGACATGAATGTGTGTAACCCTTGACCAGCTTGTGGTCATTCAATAAACCGACCTAGTTTTAACTGTTTGACTCGTTGTATTGTTTCATTATTAAGTATATTCATTCCCATTTTCCGTATTGTCAACTGTATGCTTGTGTCATATATTAGATGCAATAACTGTGTACGCAATCCCTTTGGAGATTGTAACACACCTTAGTTTGGTGCTATTACATTCTTGAAAAAAAGAAACGTCTCTGCCAATTTAGAAGAATTTATGGCGTTAGTTTAAGAACAACAGTTATGTGTTCGTTGCTAGGCAACCTGCGGTCTGTCATGAAATAATCAGTACCAGCTGATATCAGTGACAGGTATGTCTTCTCAATGATGGATGTTACATTCAAAGGTAAAGATTGCACAGTCGGTACACTTCTAACGTAGTCAATCCTTCAGGTACAGAAGTATACACCTATTGGGTGAGTGAGTGAGTCTAGTTGTACGCCGCTTTTAGCAATATTCCAGGAATATCACAGAGTGGGACACCAGAAATGGGCCCATGTGGGGAATCGAACCCGGGTCTTCGGAGTGACGAGCGGACGCTGGTATACAACTATTGCAGATACCACACTGAATAAGTGAATAAGGTACGAGTGGTGGGCGGGGGCAGGGGATCGATAATTGGTACAAATCCATGTTTCTTGTGCCTCATCTCGGTCATACGTACATCCATGCATAAAGATTCAGAGAGGAAACACTCTAAACAGGACTGCAGGAAACGGGTACGACTTACCACTTTTAAGTTTTATGTCGAGCAGAATTCCAGCCCCAGCCTTTGGTTATCACATTATACACGTTTGAGGTTCAGTCAGTTTGGCAGGTGCGGTGAAGAATACAATCGTGTCCGTGGATATTTCCTGGTGGACTTCAATTTACTGTCCCGCGGGACAGGTATTTCAGGAACACCTGGTATCATCCACAGGGGATTGTATTGCTGAAAATAATACGTCCTGGGTCTTACAAGCGTACACTGATATCCATGTACATATAAAGAAGGAAAGGGATGCCAACGCACAAACTTGTCAAACACCCCTCTCGTAAATGGGCGAAATCTGGGTGGGAAATTGTGAAATACACAGCCGAGATTCTTACTGAAAATGCTTTCGCATTACAACATCTCAAATGAAATGAGTGGATGATTTTACCTGCCATACACGACTTTATTGGAAAATTAGCGGTATCGAGTGATCGAGGCCACCATGTTTGTCCTTCACCTTCAATAGACTCGCACCAACGACGAGCTACTCTCTGATTGGTTAAAAATAAAATACCAGTATTATTCTTATTTCGTGGCGCGATATTTAGGAAATAAAATTCGTCCTCGTGCTTTAATTATAATAGTTAAGGGCAAAACTATACTTTATTACAAAACACATTGGGGTAGAGCGAACTTTATTTCCTAAATAGAGTAGCTCGTCGTTGGTGCGAGTCTATTGAAGGTGAAGGACAAACATGGTGGAATATCTAGCGATTACGAAAGGTTATGTCTTTTTTCGCCGATTGCGTGTTTTCCATTGAAATACTTAGTATTTCTTCGCCGAGAAGCGATGATTTTCGTAGGCAGGTTTTTGGCGTACAAATGAAAAAGTTGTCTTTTCCCGAGTTCCAAGCAAAGTTACTCGGTCAATAGTGCACCGATTTTGATAATTTTGGATTTAATCGAAGGGGAATTCATCTGGCTTTATTTCAGTAGAGATCTCGGCTGTGTATTTCACAATTTCCCACCAGATTTCGCTCATTTACGAGGGGGAATGTTTGACAAGTTTGTGTGCGTTACATATCCCTTTCCTTCTTTGTATATGGATATCAGTGTACGCTTGTAGGACCCAGGACATATTATTTTCAGCAATACAAGCCCTGTGGTATCATCACTGTTTGATAATGGTTATATATATAATATATATATATATATAAAACAATTTCTCTCTCTCACTCGCTCTCTCTGTCTGTATGCATGTATGTATATATATATATATATATATATATGTATATATATATGGAGAGAGGTGAGAAAAATGAGGAAAGAAAGAAAAAGAGGGGAGGGACAGAGAGGAAAGAGTGAGAAGAGAGAGAGGAACAGAGAGGAGGGGAGAAAAGGGTGGGAGGGACACAGGAGGTGCGAGAGGGAGGTGGGGTGAGGGAGGTGGGAGAAAGGGAGGTGGTGGGGAGAGAAATGGGGAGGAGAGGTGAGGGGAGAATGGGGAGAGAGGAAAAGGGGGGACCTGGAGGGGGGGGAGGGAGGGGGACAGGAGGGGGGGAGGGGGACGGGGAGGGAGGGGACAGGGGGAGGGGACGGGGGACAGAGGACAGGACAGAGGACAGGGGGAGGGAGGGAGGGGGGGAGGGAGGAGGAGGGAGGGGAGGGGGAGACAGGAGGGGAGGGGAGGGGGGAGGGGACAGGGAGGAGGGAGGACAGGGGACAGGAGGGAGAGGGGGACAGGGGGAGGAGGGACGGAGGAGGGAGGAGAGGGGAGGGGGGACGGAGGACAGGGGGGGGACAGGGGGAGGAGGGACAGGGGAGGGGGACGGAGGGGACGGGGAGGGAGAGAGGGGGAGAGGGAGAGGACCTATAAGGAGGGAGGGGACAGGGAGAGAGGGGAGGAGACCTGAGGAGGGAGAGGACACAGGAGGAGGAGGAGACAGGAGGGAGGAGAGAGGGAGGACAGAGGAGGGGACAGAGACCAGGACGGACAAGAGAGACAGAGGAGAGAGAGGGGACGGAGAGGACATGGAGAGAGGAGACAGAGAGGAGAGAGACAGAGGAGACAGAGGAGGAGAGGACACAGAGAGAGAGGGGACAGAGGAGAGAGACAGAGAGAGAGGGAGGAGGAGACAGAGGAGAGACAGAGAGACAGGGAGAGAGGACAGAGAGAGGAATAGAGAGAGAGAGAGAGAGGAGAGAGAGAGAGACAGAGAGAGAGAGAGAGGGACAGAGGAGAGAGAGACGGACAGAGAGACAGAGACAGGAGAGAGGACAGACAGACAGACAGACAGAGAGACGGACAGACAGAGAGAGAGACAGAGAGAGGAGAGAGGAGAGAGAGGACATCCCCAGTATCCCAGGTAGGTGGCTCAGGATTGGTTGCTGGCATGAGTCCCACGCCGTCATATCGCTGTCATATTGCTGTCATATTGCTGTCATATTGCTGTAATCGGCGTACATCCTGACTCTTTTACGTGTTGCTGGTTGTTGGAATGTGTCCCCAGCAGTCATATTGCTGTCATATTGCTGTAATCGGCGTACAACCTGACTCTCTCACGTGTTGCTGGTTGTTGGAATGTGTCCCCAGCAGTCATATTGCTGTCATATTGCTGTAATCGGCGTACAACCTGACTCTCTCACGTGTTGCTGGCTGCTGGAATGTGTCCCCAGCAGTCATATTGCTGAAATATTGCTGTAAGCGGCGTACCTCACTCACTCACTTGTAACTGATATCTTTCTGTCCGTGTTTTCAACAGTTGTATATTTCACACCATTGTTTTATGAGTATAACAATTATACTTTTGATATAACATTGCAAATGATTTACTAATTGGTCTCGTAGCAATGTGGCTGAAATAACGCAGATGTCATGTTCAAGGTGAATTCACTCACTCACCCTGGAAAATGGGGGTCATGACACTGGTGCATGAACCAGGGTCTAGATTTTCGAAGCTCACTTAGCGTTAAGATAGTCGTAAGTTAATGTTAATGTATGGCACTTACGACTATCTTAACGCTATGAGAGCTTCGAAAATCTGAACCCTAAGAGGTTGACAAGGGGTTTTGTGTCATAAATGATGCAACTCATTTCTTTGACTGGGGAACGGAACGATAAAAAAGTATGAACGCGATAAAACCCTTTCTAAGTCTACGGGAAACCAATTCAAGGTTGGACCCATGCTAACGGGATCGGGTAGTCAGGCGCTGACTTGGTTGACACATCTCATAATATCCCAATTGCGTAGATCGATGCTCGTGCTGATGACCACTAGATTGTCTGGTGCAGACTCGAATATTTACAGACCGCCGCCATATAGCTGGAATAGT